ATGAACGCTAACTCAGTTCAATGGCATTTCAATAAGTAAGGCCCTTTCAGTGACCAGTTAACAACCAAACATAAAATACTGGGAACTTCATTGTAAATTGGCAAATGCACCTGTGATTGTCTAGTTCAACTCCCACAATCGCGGTGGCCGTAGTCCTTTATATCAAGGTTTTAAGAATCGAGTAATTATAAAACGAAGGCGAGATGCCCGCATACACTGGAAATGCTGTTTGCTGTATGTTCAGCCATCGCCAACACTCCTAATGATCTTATCACGACCACAAACCTTGAGCATAACCATTGTCATGACACTAACCATATATATATATGATAGTTGTGTGGACATGTAAAGCCAATAAAATAAATGAGACGACCTCTGCTGTCTGTCTCCTAAATCAGCCGGGGAGAGGCGACCCCGACATAGAATGCATGAACTGGTGGAGTGACTTCCTTCCATCAGTGTGAAAGGATTGCCCAGAGGGAAAGAGAGGATTGAAAATCCTTAAGATATCGTTTCTGCATTGTATAAGCATTAGCAACCAATTTCCTCTAATAATAAACTGATTGGTATCCGTTGGTATCCCAAGCAGCAATACTCAGTATGTGCATTGGGCAATTGTAAAACTCACAAACCCTAATGAGATTCTGTGTACATGGTCACGCCAGGTGTTTGTTAGGATCACAAATTCGTTACGAACATCACCTGGAGTGATTCATACGGTCAAAAATTAAAACGAAAATTCCCGCAATCCACATACACAATCACTTAACTAATTGCGAACATTTACCTACCCGCGACAATCGTGTCAACTCGGGGCTTCCCGAAGCTATTAACGCGTATCTAAATTCACTACTGTTCTACTGTCGGCTCGTCACAATGGCTAGACTTGGACCCTAGTACCGATGTACCGTTAAGACCTGCATTGGCAAATGTACAACAGTTGGAAATTTTGTCAGAAATTTCACTGTACACAACCACCCACCAGAAGACACCAGCAGAATCCAGTTCCTTGGCAGATTAAGGAAGAGAGCAAGAGAAGAACCAACCTCTCCTATGCCAGCCCTCTACAACGACGAGGTCTTGAGACATGATCCGGAGGCTGCAGCTATATTTCCCTCCTTCAGCTCAGTCGGCAGCGCCATGTACAGACACCGCAGTCACACCATCCCGAAACTCCCTAAAACCAGAGCTGAAGTCGACATTGCAGCACCCTGGAGAGAGACCCATGATGGTGAGCGGTTTCTGCTTTTTGCCGACGGTGAAGAAGACAAGATGCTGGTATTTGCAACTGATGATCAGTCCTCCAGTCAGCTTCCATTGTCTACATGGATGGTACTTTCTCCGCCTGCCCAGATCTTTGGAATCAGCTTTACATACTGCATGCACGGAAAGGAAGCATTACCTATCCCCTAGTCTACGCATTGATGCCTGATCGTCGGACTACAACTTACCAACGCCTCTTTGCTCAGTTGAAGGTCCACATCCAACATCTACTGAACCAACCATTCAACCCAGAGACATTCCATGTGGACTTTGAAGTTACTGCCATTAGAGCCCTCCGGACAGAGTCTCAAGGTTCAGACATCAAGAGTGTTTCTTCCACTTTACCCAGGCGATTTGGCGGAAAACACAGGAGCTTGGTCTTGCTGTTGGATACAGAGATAACCCCCTTGTGGAACAGTGGATCCGACGAGCTGCTGCCTTGCCGCTGCTGCCTCTTCAACAGGTTCAGGATGCATGGATTGACTCCATGATGGTTCACGCAAACAATTCCAGCAACCGAGCACTGATTAAGACGGGCCGAAATTGTGTTGAAATCTGGTGAACACGGATCAATGGCTGCTCATTAACGCAAGAATCACATCTCATTGTTCTGTTTTCTCTCTATATTCATTTGATCTATTTGTCAAATTCAACTGAAACCCGGTCCCGTGTTACACGTATGGCACACGCGTGCTCGACGGGTTGCACACGCGCTGCACACCCGGTGCACATCCGTGTTCAACGGGTGCTCAACCCGTGTGCAACCCGTCAAGCATCCATGTCACATACGATTGAACACGACTGTCATACGACCTTCATACGACTTTCATAAGACTGAACACGACTTTTCAGCTCGGCTTAAATCGTGTTATAAATTTTTGCATGGCAAAAATTTATAACACGATTTAAGTCGAGCTGCGAAGTCCATACGACCGCGCGCGACCGACCACGACTTAACACGAATGAACACGAATGAGTGCGCGACCTTCATACGTTCTAACACGATTTAAGGAAAAACGTTAAATCGTGTTCATTCGTGTTCAGCTTCGTGAATGTGAGATAGGGGCTTAATGGTGCCACTTTGGTATCATAATTATATTTTTGTTAAATCGAAATTTCTCGTTATTTCAATTATTGTCTCGGAAATGTTTTCAAATAAACTTCTAATAACGAGAGAATAATCGAAGAAAGGAGAGAAAAAATCGACTTTTCTAGTTTTGAAATATACTTGAAATAACGAGCAAATAATCCATATTTCGAGTTATTGAAGCAAACTGGAAATAACGAAAAAAACCTCGAAATTTCGAGTAAATAATTGAAATAACGAGAAATAATCGAAGTAACGAGAAACTTATCGAAATTTCGAGTTTTTTATATAAACTTGAAATAACGAGAAATGAATTGAAGGAACGAGAATAAATACAGATTCGAAGAAAATAATTGAAATAACTCGATTTATATTTCGAAATTTTAAGTTTTTGAAATAAACATACTGAACGCAACTGAACTCGATCTTCATACGACTGAACACGATCTTCATACGATTGAACACGACTGTCATACGACCTTCATACGACCTTCACTGAACACGACTTTTCAGCTCGGCTTAAATCGTGTTGTACATTTTTGCATTTGCATTGCAAAAATTGATAGCACGGTTTAAGTCGAGCTACGACGTCCATACGACCGCGCGCGACCGACCACGACTAAACACGAATGAACACGAATGAGTGCGCGACCTTCATACGTTCTAACACGATTTAAGGAAAAACGTTAAATCGTGTTCATTCGTGTTCAGATTCGTGAAAGTGAGATAGGGGCTTTAGAGTATAAATAGTTCAAATTCCACAACAACACACAAGTGAGTTGCACTTCGTGCTGACGTCACCTTATGAAGTTATTTCTGGGTCAGGGCCTTCTCGTCATAAAGCTTCATAACGGGTGTCAGATGAGAGATCACTTGGCAGTCACTTCCCATAATCTCCGTCCTTCGTTACTTTCGTTAGATCTTCTGTCTGGTAATCAAAATAGAAACTTTCACCATTGATAAATACAGAGTCATTCCTCAAAAATGCACATTGACCTTTTTCTCTAGCATTTATCATGTACACGCCTAGTTTCTTTCCCTTAGTGTAAACGAAAAGTCCTCTGACACATGCTATGCAGACGTTTCCTTTAACTGCTCTTAGGCCTCTACACACAAATGCTTCATCATCCCTTGATCCAAACTATACAATTGTAGGCGGATTCGATCCTTGTTCACGTTTAGCACCCAGTCTATAAACAGTATCAAAACGAATGTTGTCATAATTACTCATATGAAGCTTTTCTTTCAAGAAATTTCTTACTTTTTCTTTGGTTTCATATTCTTCATCCCTCCGTCCATTTCAAAAAGTAGATTATTTTTCCTTGGGTAATTCTCACTTCTATCTAATGTATCTTCTAAGGCCGCAATCTTAATGGATTGTTTTGACACAACTGACTGATAAAGAGTCTCCAAGCTGGGTCAAATGAAAGCAACGTTCCACCACTCGTCGCACGGGCCTGGCATACATGGATACCTGCATTACAAAGCAAATTCTTTGTTGGACACATGTGAAACTCATTTAGATATTGTTCATAAAATGAATCCGATATATACCTCTCCGGTCAGCCTGCACAATCCCGCACCTCATCCACAATGTAAAGTTTCAGTGTCCAACTGGCCATTCTCTGGCGTTAATTAGAAGCCACTGACCCACACATGAATCCTTACTGCTGGCCATGGTAAGAACAGCCTAGCTGCTGTAATAGTTTGTATTGGCCAGCCTTGTGAATATTTAGATAGATAATTAACTTACTTAACTCGGCACTACAACAGCTACATATTATATAGCGTTGCGTAATACTACCTTATGTTTAAGTTGATTCTAGGTACCATTTTGTGACAAAGCTAAATATACGCTACGCTACCGCATGAAAATATAGACTGTATATGCATCTTGCAAGTTAAATAGATAATGATAGACATTAAAGGGGAATATAATAATGCATGTCGAAATATATGAGAGAAATATTGGTTTCCCATTTTAATGACACAGAAGCTGGAAGAGCCCACGACGCAATATAATTTAAACATCACTGGATAGTGCCTAGGTATTAAACAGTAAATAATATATTATGAGCAGCCATTTAGAACTAGAATGTATTGTACTTGTACATATTAGATTGATTGTTACAATATGTCAGTACTAATTCATTTTCTAGATAAAAATAACAGTGTAATAAAAGATTTAGACATAAAATAAGAACAATATTTCAATGTTTCTTTCCTTGAAACTAGAGAGGAGAGAGCTGTGAGGTCCTTAGGGATTATTCACGGTTTGCCGAGGACCAGCCTTGAAGGAGTTATAATACCAGGGTCACATATTTTCAGTTTAACTACTTAGGGTAGTTTTGTACTTGCATTTGTCATTTTGGACAAAAACAAATGATTGCCGGGAGAGACTTTGAAATCCGCCGGGAAAAGAAACTGAGTATAACACCACGGTGAATCTCACACATCAGAGCACATCAGAGTTCGAAACAAAGGTTAAGTTATGATGTCTACAGGGTATATACATGTTTCAAAGCCTGAAGATATAATATAACATGCATTAACATTTTGTGTTGTACAATAGAATAAAATCGAAAAAAGCCTTTCGATATTAATAAGAATTATTCGCGCACACATTCATATATAATCTTCTTTGTTTCAGTGCAAATCGATGGGCGTTCACAGTATGTGGAGGAATGCTGCTCGTGTGTATCTTAATACTATACGTAACTTCTCGAAGTGATACACAACATCAACCGCTCTCCAAAATCATCCTAAATTCCAAACAAGCATTCTTTAGACTTCAGCACACGTGGTCTGGGGCCACCAACAAGGTGGTCCCAACTGATCCCAAGACAATCCTTTGGTACTTTACACCGAGATATTTACCCACCAACCTTACAAGCAGGGTTCCTGTAAGTGCCTGCCCTCAATCCAACTGTTTCGTGACTCGGAATAGAACATTTCTGCAAAGCAGTGAAGCAGTTTTATTTAACGCACAGTACATCAAGGGCGCCCTTCCACCTCGAAAGGCAGGCCAAGTGTGGATTTTTCACAACAATGAGCCACCTTATCTGTTTGCCAATGACAGAGATTTTTACAAACAACCATGGTCGTCCGCATTCAACTGGACCATGACCTTTAGGCATGATTCTGACATATTCAGGCCGTATGCTTTACTGAAGAAGAGAAGAACAGTGCCTCTGAAGAACTATAGTGCTATTGTCAAGAAGAAGACGAAATTGGTTGCATGGATGGTCAGTAACTGTCTTGACTGGAGCAAAAGAATAGCGTATGGCAAGGAACTGCAGAAACATATTCCAGTAGATATTTATGGCCTATGTGGGAAAATGACATTTCGCAGAGAGCAAAATAAGGATTGGCTAAAATACGTAAACGAAACCTACAAATTTTATCTTGGATTTGAAAATAATTATTGTAAGGACTACATAACTGAGAAGTTTTTCAATAACTTTAACCTTGACCTTGTGACCGTGGTTCGCGGCGGCGGTAACTACAGCCGTGATGCTCCACCAGGTACATACATCAACGTTGACGACTTCCAGTCTCCCAAGCATCTGGCTGAACACTTATGGTTTCTACACAACAATACTGATAAGTACATCGACATCCTTAAACGCAAAGAGGAATATTATTATGAAGCAGAAGAGTACCTCTACGTGGATCCTGGAGGATCTCTGTTCCTTGAGCACTACTATGAACAGGAGTCTTTATGTGAAATTTGTAGGAAGCTAAACAACATTGAAAATCACTCGAAAACTATACCGGACATTATTCCATGGTGGAGAGATGGTATTTGTAGAAATCCTACAAAACCCTTTTAAACCAGAGTTTGACTGTTTACATGCACAGTGAAAAACCTCATTAATCGGGACTATGCTCGTGAGTACCCATAAAATAAATATAAATATAAATATGCATGCATGCTCGGCCAAGATGTTTTTGTACATATTCTATATTTATATGTATATGTATTGTGTTGTTGAAATAATTGTGTACCTCTGATGCCGCTGATAGCGGCCTGAGCGTAAATAAAGTTCAGTTCAGTTCAGTCGTGATTAAAACATCATTGATTAAGGAATCCTATGTCAATAAAATATGCCAACATATGTACGTGTATTTAGAGAATAGCCAAGCAGCAACAAGAGAGGTCCCAGGTGGGGTACTTTTGTAAACTGAGCCTTTTTGTCCAAGTCGCGAGGATGTTATGCTATATATTACCCATTTCCTGTAACATGTAAAAAAATGTGGGTTTCCTTATCTCAATTGTAGACATGAGGCAAATGTGTTTATTGTTGAGACGACAATCAGAATTTAATTAAACGCTTTAGCATAAAATGACCCCCTTTCAACATCAAAACAAATAACACTTTTTCAGGTATTATCAGCCAACATTTTCATTTCCAGCTTTCACATACACATTTCACGTTTGACCCATATCGATCGCATATATATGGCAGTTTCGGGTCGTGAACAAGAGCTCAATTGTCGATTGGTTATCATAAACCTTTATTGGTTGCAAAAAACAAAAAACAAATATCCTCAAACAGAATTAAATATTTTTAGATTTATGGCTTTACCCATGCATGTTTTAGCTCCTTTACCCATGCATGTTTAGCGCCATAACCCATGCAAGTTTTAGCGTCTTTACCCATGCATGTTTAGCGCCATAACCCATGCAAGTTTTAGCGTCTTTATCCATGCATGTTTTAGCGCCATAACCCATGCATGTTTTAGCTCCTTTACCCATGCATGTTTTAGCGCCATAACCCATGCTTGTTTTAGCGCCATAACCCATGCATGTTTTAGCGTCTTTACCCATGCATGTTTTAGCGCCTTTACCATGCATGTTTTAGCTCCTTTACCCATGCATGTTTGAGCGTCTTTACCCATGCATGTTTTAGCGTCTTAACCCATGCATGTTTTAGCGTCTTTATCCATGCATATTTTAGCTCCTTTACCCATGCATGTTTTAGCGTCTTTACCCATGCATGTTTTAGCGCCTTTACCCATGCATGTTTTAGCGCCTTTATCCATGCATGTTTTAGCGCCTTTACCCATGCATGTTTTAGCGTCTTAACCCATGCATGTTTTAGCGTCTTTATCCATGCATATTTTAGCTCCTTTACCCATGCATGTTTTAGCGTCTTTACCCATGCATGTTTTAGCTCCTTTACCCATGCATGTTTTAGCGTCTTTACCCATGCATGTTTTAGCGCCTTTATCCATGCATGTTTTAGCGCCTTTACCCATGCATGTTTTAGCGTCTTTATCCATGCATGTTTTAGCGTCTTTATCCATGCATGTTTTAGCGTCTTAACCCATGCATGTTTTAGCGCCTTTATCCATGCATGTTTTAGCGCCATAACCCATGCATGTTTTAGCGACGTTATCCTTGCATGTTTAAGCGTCTTAACCCATGCATGTTTGAACGCCTTAACCCATTAAGTTTGAGCGTCTTCACACTCACTCTTTCAGCGTCTTGACGACGCAATACAAACACTATCTGAAATCACGACACGAAGGGGCTGTATTTCACACACTTGTGCATTTCTCGGAAATGAAAGTATAATCAAAGGTCCATATGCCAAACGTTTGAAATGTAGATAAAAAAAATTATCATTTGACCGCCAAATGGGCATATATTACCACGGGAATGAAATAGAAGAGATCCTAGTGACAATGAACATATATTACCGAGGTGTGTAGATATCGTCATCGTCTTCATGTATTTCCTTACGTGTGCAATTTCGTAAATGTTGTTCACATATGACACAGATTTCATTACCCTTGAAGGAAGGATTAGATGTATCCTATGTTTCACACGCTATAGGTAAGTGTAAGATTTACATATTGACAGAAGGTAGCTTTTATTTCAGTGGTTCCGTGATGTAACTGTATTGTGGTAAAGGATATTTGGAGCGCAGAAAACATATACGCGTACTCCTATTTGAGATGATATCAGAGATGGCAATTTCAACTTTCTTTTCATTTGAGTATGGGTTTTGGCTTTTGTTGGATCTTGGGTTGAATTTTGTATAGCCCTCTGCCGATCTTACTTGCGTCCCCTTGGACTTGCCATCTTTGGGCTATGGAGGCTTTGACTTTGCTTTTTATCTCTAGTTTACAAAAGGGAATAGGCTGTATCTCCGCTTTGTCGAGAACTAGCTTCGGTAGTGAAATGCTAGTACCAGATGTCATCTTGTTTTCTAGCAGTTGAGTCAATATTCATCACGTGACTGGTCAAAACTGATCATATGACGAGTCAACATTCGAGGTCAGTGGCAGTCATATGATTCTGGGGTAAACATACAAATGTATTTGTCTTCACGTGGTACGGATTAACCAATGGAATTCCAGGATTCTTTATACAGGTATAACAAATTATATATATGGCCGAACCATCGCAACAATCGGTATTGGGAGAAAAGGTACAGACAGTCGACGTTAAATGTGTGAGAATATCCGAGAAATATCATCGGCATTTGTCGGGACAAGTACAAGAACAAGCAGCCGCACAATCAACTGAAACCCGATTCTGTGCTACATACACGACGCACGTTGGTCAGCCGCTGCACATCGGGGCTTTATGAATTGCACATGTTTGTTAAATAATTTAATTTTAGTTTCTTCAACCCAAAATGTCTCCATATTTCGGATTTTCTCCTTTTGTTCGGCACGATGTCAAAGGCGTCCGCCATGTTGGATAAACAATCAAGGGAAGTAACTCTAGTTCCAAGTTGTCAGCAACGTTCGTTCCCGATGATTTCAGATTGTAAAATACGTATTTTTATCATGTGGTGTTTGAATAATGAGGGAAAAACCGATACGCCAAAAACGTATCGCGATACGTATCGTGATGAATTTGTATTGCAATATACCGTTATACCGATAAAATCGCACCTCCCTAGTTAAATTGGTGCACAACCCTCATGCAACCCGTGTCATATACGTGTACGATACGTTTTCAACGCATGTAAGGGGAATGGACTTCTAGGCAGCAGTGTAGCTGAACGTATTTAAGGTGAGATTGAACTGCATGGCAACCTTATTCTTTACAATGGGTGCATTTCTATTTTGCAAGATAATAAGTGATATGTGCTGAGCATGTTAACTCAACGAGGTCGTCTGTACGATTATCTGATTGTCTGGTGCTTGTAGGTTGGTCGAGATACCTCACAAATCAGCCAGTGCATTTGGTACATTCATGTCTCAGTGAAATACAAACGAGTCGGTGTCAGGTACTGGAAGTATCATGAGCCATAGCATAAATCCCCTTCTCTACTATGTCAACACCACAAAGTTAGAATACGATTAGAATGCACCTCAGTGAAATATCACCATACGCTTACAACAGAGAGACGAGCTATGACAACTGAAACACAGACATATATTTTTTTAAAGTCTCACCTCATTATAATTGATATAACCTTATACTAACGAACACAAAGTTAGTTAAAATTGCAATGAGCCACTCTTTACTAAAGTGAGAGACTATTTCTAAAATATCGTACAGAAAATACAGGCATGAAAGCTTAAATTAAAACTGTAAATGTATTATATTTTATGTAAAAATAATACAAAATATATGCTTATACAAAATATCTTTGGAAATAGGATGGTATCTGAACTATAATCTCTTCGTTTCGGGATAAAATAGCAGGTTTTGGCAATAACAGTGCATAAAGAAGACAGGACAAGACAAAACATATTGTTAAGCAATTCAAAGTTTCATTGAAAGGAAGCACAAATAAGTCGCTCCGCTCCTTCTAAATACCATAAAACACTAAACAGAACCGTAGCAACATCGTCAGTACGCCAGGGGGTTGGCGTTACATTCATCAATCACCCGCCAACATACACGGCCGTTATCCGGTGTTGTAGCGACACTGTTTATTTTGTGTCTGGGAATGAGAAGGGGCTGTGTAAATAACGCCCAAATCGACCCCACCCCGCGCACAACCTACCATTGCCTGATATTGATGCAATGTTTCGAGCGTGAAATATCGCCGTTGTTATTTGAGGCACACTGGTCTAAACTGAACTGATCTTTATTACACGAACAGCTTGTATGATCAGCTTGTATGAACAGCTTGTATGAACAGCTTGTATGAACAGCTTGTATGATTAACTTGTATGATCAGCTTGTATGAACAGCATGTATGAACAGCTTGTATGAACAGCTTGTATGATTAACTTGTATGATCAGCTTGTATGAATAGCTTGTATTAACAGCTTGTATGATCAGCTTGTATGAACAGCTTGTATGAACAGTTTGTATGATTAACTTGTATGATCAGATTGTATGAACAGTTTCTATGGTCAGCTTGCATGCACAGCTTCTATGAACAGCTTGTATGAACAGCTTGTATGAACAGCTTGTATGATTTGCTTGTATGAACAGCTTGTATGATTAACTTGTATGATCAGATTGTATGAACAGTTTGTATGGTCAGCTTGCATGCACAGCTTCTATGAACAGCTTGTATGAACAGCTTGTATGAACAGCTCGTATGATTTGCTTGTATGAACAGCTTGTATGATTAACTTGTATGATCAGCTTGTATGATTAACTTGTATGATCAGCTTGTATGAACAGCTTGTATGAACGGCTTGTATGAACAGCTTGCATGAACTGCTTGTATTAACAGTTTGTATCAACAGCTTGCATGATCAGCTTGTATCAACAGCTTGTATCAACAGCTTGTATCAACAGTTTGTATGAACAGTTTGTATGAACAGTTTGTATGGTCAGCTTGTATGAACAGCTTGCATGATCACCTTGTATGAACAGCTTGTATGAACAGTTTGTATGATTAACTTGTATGACCAGCTTCCATGAACAGCTTGTATTAACAGCTTGTATGAACAACTTGTATGAACTGCTTGTATGAACAGCTTGTATGATTAACTTGTATGATCAGATTGTATGAACAGCTTGTATTAACAGCTTGTATCAACAGCTTGTATCAACAGCTTGTATCAACAGTTTGTATGAACAGTTTGTATGAACAGTTTGTATGGTCAGCTTGTATGAACAGCTTGCATGATCACCTTGTATGAACAGCTTGTATGAACAGCTTGTATGATTAACTTGTATGATCAGCTTGTATGAACAGCTTGTATGAACAGCTTGTATGAACAGCTTGCATGAACAGCTTGTATGAACAGCTTGTATGATCAGTTTGCATGAACAGTTTGTATGGTCATCTTGTATTAACAGCTTGTATGAACAGCTTGTACGAAGAGTTTGTATGGACAGTTTGTATGAACAGCTTGTATGGTCAGCTTGTATGAACTGCTTGTATGAAAAGTTTGTATGAACAGTTTGTATGAACAGCTTGTATGGTCAGCTTGTATGAACAGCTTGTACGAACAGCTTGTATGAACAGTTTGTGTGAACAGTTTGTATGGTCCGCTTGTATGAACAGCTTGCATGAACAGCTTCTATGATCAGCTTGTATGAACAGCTTGTACGAACAGCGTGTATGAACAGTTTGTGTGAACAGTTTGTATGGTCCGCTTGTATGAACAGCTTGCATGAACAGCTTCTATGATCAGCTTGTATCAACAGCTTGTATGAACAGTTTGTATGATTAACTTGTATGATCAGCGTGTATGAACAGCTTGTATGAACAGCTTGCATGAACAGCTTGCATGATCAGCTTGTATGAACAGCTTTTATGAACAGCTTGTATGGTCAGCTTGTATCAACAGCTTGTATGAACAGTTTGTATGAACAGTTTGTATGGTCAGCTTCTATGAATAGCTTGTATGAACAGCTAGTATGAACAGCTTGTATGAACAGCTTGTATGATAAGTTTGTATGAACAGTTTGTATGGTCAGCTTGTATTAACAGCTTGTATGAACAGCTTGTATGAACAGCTTGCATGAACAGCTCGTATGGTCAGCTTGTATGAACAGCTTGCATGAACAGTTTGTATGAACAGTTTGTATGAACAGCTTGTATAACTGCTTGTATGAAAAGTTTGTATGAACAGCTTGTATAACAGTTTGTATGAACAGCTTGTATAACAGCTTGTATGAACAGCTTGCATGAACAGCTTGTATGGTCAGCTTGTATGAACAGCTTGCATGAACAGTTTGTATGAACAGCTTGTATGGACAGCTTGTATGAACAGCTTGTATGAACAGCTTGTATGAACAGTTTGTATGAACAGCTTGTATGAACTGCTTGTATGAACAGTTTGTATGAACAGTTTGTATGATCAGCTTCTATGATCAGCTTATATCAAAAGCTTGTATGAACAGCTTGTATGATCAGCTTGTATGAACAGCTTGTATGGACAGTTTGTATGAACAGCTTGTATGATCAGCTTGTATGAACAGCTTGTATGAACAGCTTGTATGAACAGCTTGTATGAACAGTTGTATGATCAGTTTGCATGAACAGTTTGTATGAACAGCTTGTATGAACAGCTTGTATGAACAGCTTGTACGAACAGTTTGTATGATCAGTTTGTACGAATAGTTTGTGTGGTCAGCTTGTATGAACACCTTGCATGAACAGCTTGTATTAACAGCTTGTATCAACAGCTTGTATGAACTGCTTATATGATCAGCTAAAAACGCCGAAGAAAAGAAGTGATTAGCATTTCAGGTGAAGAGGACACATCCGGCTGAAAAGGAAAGAAAAGGAGTGGCAAGCTGGGTGGGTGGGTGGGAAAGCGATTAGATACAGCGAAACACTTGTGTACTTGAAGAGAGACGTGCGCGAATGATTGACTATAACAAAGGTTTGGTCGACAACCCAGACTTCTGATTGGTCAGATTTCGATCCGTTTTTTCTTTTCTTGGGTAGCCTTGGTATTTTTTTTAGGTAGACGGTCGTCTGAATGCTAAAGGTGGACCTTCATAGGTAGGCATAAACGTGGGAATGCCTACGTGATGTACGTTGTGTCACCCCCCATGCAAATCGTAATGTCATGTGTGTGTGTGTCTTCAAACAGACGTTGACATTGATCCATAGAATGATTATGCCATGCCTACGTGATGTACGTCATGTTGCCAGGCACACGTGGTGTTTCACGCGTGTCTTTATGCAAAACGTGATGTCATGTGTTTGTGTGTGTGACTACAAACATTTATTTAGTATTAAGATGGATAGAGAAAGATCGATACACATGCGTGACGTTTGCACACGTGATGTACTTCGTGTCGTGTACTTCAAATTATTATTATTTAATTATACCGAGGTGTTGACACTCGTGTAGGTCTACAGACGTACTGTTACACGTGTTTTCATGCACACGTGTTGTTTGACTCGTATCTCCATGCACACGTGGTGTACTACGTGTCTCTATTTATATATTTATATTTTTTTTTTTTATTTTGAGACGTACCATGGTGGTGGTGGTGGTGTCACGCGTAGACGTCTGCCTCCAAGAGGTCTAGGGGGAGGGTGTGGGTTCTTTGTTTTGGATTGTTGTTGTTTGGGTTGGCAAAGCAAAGATGTCTTTTGGGATGAGAAGGGTGGCCCTGAAAAGGGCCGTTTTGGGGAAGAAAAACTTTTCTGCTGCTGTCAGAAGAAACATCGGACGAACAGAGGTCATGAGTGGTCACGTACGCCACCGTAGAACTCCATGAAGCCGTGATGAAGTATGACTACCAGGTGTTTTCAAAGTGTACAGACGTTCATACCCTCGTGGTCACCCTCGTGGTCATCCCCGTGGTCACCCTCGTGTTCACAAAAATCACAGGGATGTCCCCCCTCATCCTGTGACTTTTGTTTTGTTGTGTTGGTTCATGTGAGCAGGGGGATTAAAAAAAAAGTTGAACAAATAGTAGTGTTATGTTGTCTGTAGGATGAAGAAAAAATAAAACAGGATTGAAATGCACACCTCGATAAAAACCGGATCGAAATCTGGCCAATCAGAGACCGCGCTCGGGTCATGCTGGGCTCTGAATGGTCGAACCGGGGTTGTGCTTTCTCTCCCATGGTAAAATCTATTTCCTATGGAAAAGAAACACAGGGGTCGGTCCGTTTTGGAAAACCGAGGTGCAAGCCAGGCACCGAAACGAACCAATCGGGGGTGCTGCCTGGGGAACCAATCAGGAAGCAGGGTGTCAGTGGCTCTCCTATAAAAACAAAACAAGAGCGAAGCCACTCACACACCACATTCTATGAAACCAACCATGCCAGCTCGATACAGTTGTATGAAGTGCCAGACCGACAGTCACAGTTACCTGTACTGCCCTGAAGTGACATGTCTCGAGTGTCACACTCAAGGTCACCGTCACTATGTCTGTCCGAAGATGAACAGTCAAGAGAAGGGCCCATGTTACAACTGTCAAGTCATGGGTCATTTCGCTGCAGATTGCCCAGAACCCCGTCGAAAGAAAACGTCAGCAGTCCCGTCAACGTCGACATCCGTGACACCCGTGACACCCGTGACACAAGTGCTTCATCTCGTAGAAGCCATGCATGTCGATGTCCTCGACCTAAAAGAATGCATCACACAACTCCGTGTGGGCATCACACCTCGTCTAGAGAAAAGAAAACGGGACAGAAGCCTCTCAAGAAAACACGCTTCAAAGCGCCGACGACACCTTCAGTCCGAGGATGAGATGGAAGTAGAGGATGAAGAAGATAGATCATCTGAACAAGTTTGTTTTCCAACGGCCCTTTTCAGGGCCACCCATCTCTCCCGAAAGAACGCTTTCATCCTTTGCTTTGACGACCCTCAAACCCAAACAATGAACCCGCCTCCTCCTCCTCCCTCCCTCCCTCCTCCTCCCGCCTTCCCGCCATCTCTCCTCCCGCCTCCCCTCTTGGAGGCGCCGAGCCGCCATGTTGGATGGGGAGATGACCCGTCGGAAAACGGAAATGCCGCCCTCTTGGAGGCGCGCGCCACCGGAAACGGATGCGCCGCCCTCTTGGAGGCGCACGCCACCGGAAACGGATGTGACGCCATCTTCGATGCGCACGCCACCGGAAACGGTTGTGACACCATCTTGGATGCGCACGCAGGACCCAACAGGACCCGCATGCGCAGGTCACGTGACCGGAAGTGACGTCACAGTCGGCACGTGATCCTCTCGACCAATCAGAAGCCAGAAGCGGTTCTAGAGTCCTGCTGTCAACTTCTCCCGGGCACGGTGCAGAGTGGTGACCCGGGGGTGATTGAGTTACAACGGGTGATTGGGTTAGGGGCGTAATTAGCCAATGGTTTGGATACGCGCGATAAATACATTTAGTAGTTAGTACTAAAAGTAAACATTGCATGGTGGTTGTGAATGCTGTTTTCCCATAACAAAACGTGAAAAAAATGAATGGCGCGGCTCCTTATTTCACTGGGAAAAGTGTGTTTTTTTAAGTAGTTGCCGACACGGCAATCCTATTCCAGATCTTCACGGGGCGGGCGAGCAGACATGCAGACAGGTCACAGTTAATAAGTATTGGTGTATTGGTTAAAGGTGAACGATTTTCAGTGGAAGTTTGATTTTCGGCAACACTGTACATTTGTGCAAGACAGCATAATCCTACATGATTAAATTGTCATTTTGCAAACTTGTCAAGTCCTAGTAACGTAGTCACGAGAGCACCATGCGACCATACGACTAGATAACACAACTAATTAATACTATACATGACAGCTGGTAACCTACATCGATATGATTCCGACCAAATCGAGTGGCGCCACATGCCTGTGTCATTGTGTGAAGTCATGTCCTTAGAGATAACCCCATGAACATGCGATTTTCAAGTATATCCACGACGCTAGCATCTAAATATAGTAATTTCCTGACGACTGATCACTGCCCAAACACAACGCAATGAACGTCTGCCGAATCTCAACAATGCAACATAGTTACAATAACTATTAATCAATAAAATACACTTCTATAAAACAGTTAGTAAACTAAACACGATATCTGAGCTTGCAGGTCCGATTCCCGTCATCGATAAAGCAAATGTTTATTTCTTGTCTTCGATTTTAGAACACTGGACGTTTGAAACACTTCGTCCAAATTCCATCTGTTAATCAAATCATCAGGTCTGACAAGCAGAAAGTAAAACCTCATATCAGGTCTTACAAGAAAAAAAGAAAACCTCATACCCAGAATGAGTTTTACCAAGAAAATGGTACACCTTCCCCAAAGGTTATTACGAGATAGGAAGATACCTACAATACAATAAACAAAAGTGGCAGTAGGTTTATAAGGAGGATTCAAGTATATACCTATTTCCAAACACTGTCAGAACTATATGTTAATGTAAAATAATTGAGAAATTGACTGTTCTTATTGGTAACTGTGTTGCCATCATCAGATCTGGAACATGTTAGAAATATATAATGTGTGAAGCCCATTTCTGATGTCCCCCGCCGATATTGATTGAATATTGCTAAAAGTATGATCAGCTTGAATGGACAGTTTGTATGATCAGCTTGCATGATCAGCTTGTATAATCAGCTTGTATGAACAGTTTGTATGAACAGCTTGCATGATCAGTTTCTATGAACAGCTTGTATGAACAGCTGATATGAACAGCTTGCATGAACAGCTTGTATGAACAGCTTGTATGAACAGCTTCTATGATCAGCTTGTATGAACAGCTTGTATGAACAGTTTGTATGAACAGCTTGTATGATTGACTTCTATGATCAGCTTGTATGAACAGCTTCTATGATCAGCTTGTATCAACAGCTTCTATGATCAGCATGTATGAACAGCTTGTATGAACAGCTTGTATGATCAGTTTGTATGAACAGCTTGTATGATTTACTTGTATGAACAGCTTGTATGATCAGCTTGTATGAACAGCTTGTATTAACAGTTTGTATGATTTACTTGTATGATCAGCTTGTATGAACAGCTTGTATGAACAGCTTGTATCAACAGCTTGTATCAACAGCTTGTATGAAATGCTTGTATGAACAGCTTGTATTAAGAGCTTGTATGAACAGCTTGTATGAACAGTTTGTATGAACAGCTTGTATGGTCAGCTTGTATGAACAGCTTGTATGAACAGCTTGTATGAACAGCTTGTATGAACAGTTTGTATGATCAGTTTGTATGAACAGTTTGTATGGTCAGCTTGTATTAACAGCTTGTACGAACAGCTTGTACGAACAGTTTGTATAAACAGTTTGTATGGTCAGTTTGTATGAACAGCTTGTATGGTCAGCTTGTATGAACAGCTTGTATGAACAGCTTGTATGAACAGCTTGTATTAACAGTTTGTATGATCAGTTTGTATGAACAGTTTGTATGAACAGCTTGTATGGTCAGCTTGTATCAACAGCTTGTACGAACAGCTTGTATGAACAGTTTGTATGAACAGATTGTATGGTCAGCTTGTATGAACAGCTTGCATGAACAGCTTGTATTAACAGCTTGTATCAACAGCTTGTATGAACTGCTTATATGAACAGCTTGTATGATTAACTTGTATGATCAGCTTGTATGAACAGCTTCTATGATCAGCTTGTATCAACAGCTTGTATCAACAGCTTGTATCAACAGTTTGTATGATTAACTTGTATGATCAGCTTCTATGAACAGCTTGTATGAACAGCTTGCATGAACAGCTTGCATGATCAGCTTGTATGAACAGCTTTTATGAACAGCGTGTATTGTCAGCTTGTATCAACAGCTTGTATGAACAGTTTGTATGAACAGTTGGTATGGTCAGCTTGTGTGAACAGCTTGTATGAACAGCTAGTATGAACAACTTGTATGAACAGTTTGTATGATCAGTTTGTATGAACAGATTGTATTGTCAGCTTGTATTAACAGTTTGTATGATCAGTTTGTATGAACAGTTTGTATGGTCAGCTTGTATGAACACCTTGTATGAACAGCTAGTATGAACAGCTTGTATGAACAGTTTGTATGATCACTTTGTATGAACAGTTTGTATGGTCAGCTTGTATTAACAGCTTGTATGAACAGCTTGTATGAATAGTTTGTATGATCAGTTTGTATGAACAGTTTGTATGGTCAGGTTGTATGAACAGCTTGCTTGAACAGTTTGTATGAACAGTTTGTATGGTCAGCTTGCATGATCAGCTTGAATGAACAGCTTGTATGAACAGCTTGTATGAACAGTTTGTATTAACAGCTTGTATGAACAGTTTGTATGAACAGCTTGTATGAACAGCTTGTATGAACTGTTTGTATGAACAGTTTGTATGAACTGCTTGTATGAACAGCTTGTATGAACAGTTTGCATGAACTGCTTGTATGAACAGTTTGTATGATTAACTTATATGAACAGCTTGTATGAACAGCTTCTGTGATCAGCTTGTATCAAAAGCTTGTATGAACAGCTTGTATTAACAGCTTGTAACAACAGCTTGTATGAACAGCTTTCATGAACAGCTTGCATGATCAGCTTGTATGAACAGCTTTTATGAACAGCTTGTATGGTCAGCTTGTATCAACAGCTTGTATGAATAGTTTGTATGAACAGCTTGTATGGTCAGCTTGTATGAACAGCTTGTATGAACAGCTTGTATAAACAGTTTGTATGATCAGTTTGTATGAACAGTTTGTATGAACAGCTTGTATGGTCAGCTTGTATGAAGAGCTTGTACGAACAGCTTGTATGAACAGCTTGTATGGTCAGCTTGTATGAAGAGCTTGTACGAACAGCTTGTATGAACAGCTTGTATGGTCAGCTTGTATGAACAGCTTGTATGAACAGCTTGTATAAACAGTTTGTATGATCAGTTTGTATGAACAGTTTGTATGAACAGCTTGTATGGTCAGCTTGTATGAAGAGCTTGTACGAACAGCTTGTATGAACAGCTTGTATGGTCAGCTTGTATGAAGAGCTTGTACGAACAGCTTGTATGAACAGTTTGTATGATCAGCTTGAAGGCCAACGACACGATGTGTGACATGATACGTTCGAAGATAAGACAATCGAAGGACCCCAAGAAAGTAGCACCGAAGAAGACGATAAAGAAGACCCAGAAGAAAAAAACAAGCAAACCAGCAGCAGCAGCAGCAGCCGCTACCACCACCACAGCACCAACCAGCACCATCACAGCAGCAGCAGCAGCAGACACCGAAACGAAGGGGACATCCTTTTTAATACCTGCAACACCTGCAAAAAGACGACCACGGAAGAAATTGTCTCTGAAGATCTCTCATCAAGAACAACTGTAAGTACCATGCTATTCTTTGTCTCAGTCATTCTTGATGTGATGATGATGATGATGGCGATGTTGATCGTGAGTATGACTATTCATATGATTCTTGTTGGATGGACAGGATTGACAGGACCCCAGATATCAGTTCAACCCAGTCCGTGCTAGAACAGTGGCGGGAACAAACCCCTCGGGAGCCAACCTATTCAACGAATGCACCTGTGATGATGACGACCGGTGACAGTGATGATCATGAAGCGCTCAAGCTGGCAGCTCTCCCTTCCATGGATCTGGACACACTCCCCCTGCTTGATGCTACTTGGTCACCAGCATCACCGGAAGATGTTCATGTCTTCTCCTCAGGTATGCCCATGGTTTGCAACGATGACAACGTTGACCAGGATCCTTATGAAGAAGCTCGACTCACTCCCCTACAACGCGAATGTAGTGCCTGCCGACACAACAACATGTTAAGATACATAAGCTGCAACAGTGGTCAAGTGATGTGCCATGTCTGTTTCAGGGAGGCCCTAGACTGTACTTGTTTTACTGATGGATCTGTCACATGTTCGGGACCTATTTGGGAAAGTACGATGGAGGGTCACATCTTATGGTGATCCTCATCTTCACTCGAAGAGCTTGAAGATAATTTGAATGTAGTGCCTGCCGACACAACAACAACGTGTTAAGATACATAAGCTGCAACAGTGGTCAAGTGATGTGCCATGTCTGTTTCAGGGAGGCCATAGACTGTACTTGTTTAACTGATGGACCTCTCACATGTTTGGGACCTGTTTGGGACAGTATGATGGAGAACCCCATCTTATGGTGACCCCATCTTCACTCGAAGAGCTTGAAGATAGAAGAGGAAACGTTGTCGCGTTGTTGTTGTAGGGACATGCAAAGCACTCCCTCCACCATTGTCTTTTCGTATTTCCTATGTATCTGGTTGCGGTTGTTGTTGTTCATTATTAAACAGTGATTGATTGAACTGACTCTTTGTGTCTTGATTGATCTCAACTCCAATAGAGTGCCGAACCGAGGGTAGAGGTTGAGTTGAGATGTCGTCTACGTTGTCTGTCTGTCATGTCAGTGCACATGCTCGTTGTAAAAGTGAAGAAAAAAGTAAAGAGTAAAAAAAATAGATAAAAGAGAAAGGCCATGCTTGAAAGTTCAGCTGCCTGGTGTCAGTCATTCCAGTACACATCACCACTACCACCGTGTACCATGTCATGTCATGTGTCATGTCATGTATCATGCCGTGTGTCAGTCAGCCCAAACACAGGATGACGTCACGTGATGAGGTGGATGAGGCGGATGAGGTGTAGGTGGTGTAGGATGAGGTCATGACCTTCCGTTGAAGGGGGTAGGGTGGAGAGTTTCATAAAAGCAGGCGAACCCTCAAACCTTCTTTCAGTGAAGTCACAGTCATCATGGAGCAAAGACGTTCTATGAATGCCATGTCATCCTCCCGAGATGTCCCCGATTCCGAGTGGGTGTCTGAAAAGGCGGGAGAACAAGAAGCGAGAAAACGCCCACTCTTTATGGACGACACATTCTTGATGGACGACACATGGCGACTCAGTGACATTCTGGAGGGACCTTTTCCTTATTACACCTTGTGTCATCCTTCTCATCCCAACTATGATTCATTTCAAGAACGTCTGAGGTCTTTTCAAACGTGGCCTAAACAGATGACCCTGACCCCTTATGACATGGCCATGGGTGGCTATTTCTATCGACGACGAGAAGACCGTGTTATCTGTTATTGCTGCGGTGTGACACTCCGCCAATGGGAAGCCACAGACAAACCCTGGAAAGAACATCTGAAGCACGCCAAAGTCCCCTTCGAATACTTGTGCGTGTTTTGTCCTGATGGAGAAGTGAACGAAAAATACAGACGTTTGGTGTCCCAAGAAGCACGGAAGAGAAGAGTCGAGTGTCTTGTTCACCCCAAGTGACAAAGTTTCTTTCTTTTTTCTCAAAGTGTACAGACGTTCATACCCTCGTGGTCACCCTCGTGGTCACCCCTGTGGTCACCCTCGTGTTCACAAAAATCACAGGGATGTCCCCCCTCATCCTGTGACTTGTTTTGTTGTGTTGGTTCATGTGAGCAGGGGGATTAAAAAAAAAGTTGAACAAATAGTAGTGTCATGTTGTCTGTAGGATGAAGAAAAAATAAAACAGGATCGAAATGCACACCTCGATAAAAACCGGATCGAAATCTGGCCAATCAGAGACCGCGCTCGGGTCATGCTGGGCTCTGAATGGTCGAACCGGGGTTGTGCTTTCTCTCCCATGGTAAAATCTATTTCCTATGGAAAAGAAACACAGGGGTCGGTCCGTTTTGGAAAACCGAGGTGCAAGCCAGGCACCGAAACGAACCAATCGGGGGTGCTGCCTGGGGAACCAATCAGGAAGCAGGGTGTCAGTGGCTCTCCTATAAAAACAAAACAAGAGCGAAGCCACTCACACACCACATTCTATGAAACCAACCATGCCAGCTCGATACAGTTGTATGAAGTGCCAGACCGACAGTCACAGTTACCTGTACTGCCCTGAAGTGACATGTCTCGAGTGTCACACTCAAGGTCACCGTCACTATGTCTCTCCGAAAATGAACAGTCAAGAGAACCCATGTTACAACTGTCAAGTCATGGGTCATTTCGCTGCAGATTGCCCAGAACCCCGTCGAAAGAAAACGTCAGCAGTCCCGTCCACGTCGACATCCGTGACACCCGTGACACAAGTGCTTCATCTCGTAGAAGCCATGCATGTCGATGTCTTCGACCTAAAAGAATGCATCACACAACTCCGTGTGGGCATCACACCTCGTCTAGAGAAAAGAAAACGGGACAGAAGCCTCTCAAGAAAACACGCTTCAAAGCGCCGACGACACCTTCAGTCCGAGGATGAGATGGAAGTAGAGGATGAAGAAGATAGATCATCTGAACAAAGTGACTAACTAACGCATGGGGCATGCTGCTCCATTGTTTTTTTTCCAGTTTCCCATCGTTTCCAGTTTTTCCAGTGTTCCAGTGTTCCTACCGTTTCCTACCGTTTCAAGTTTGTTTTCCAACGGCCCTTTTCTGGGCCACCCATCTCTCCCGAAAGAACGCTTTCATCCTTTCCTTTGACGACCCTCAAACCCAAACAATGAACCCGCCTCCTCCTCCTCCCGCTTACCCGCCCTCTCTCCTCCCGCCTCCCCTCTTGGAGGCGCCGAGCCGCCATGTTGGATGGAGAGGTGACCCCTCGGAAAACTGACGTGCCGCCATCCGGAAACGGATGTGACGCCATCTTGGATGCGCACGCCACCGGAAACGGATGTGACGCCATCTTGGATGCGCACGCAGGACCCACCATGCCCCGCGCGCATGCGCAGGTCACGTGATCGGAAGTGACGTCACAGTGGTCACGTGATCCTCTCGACCAATCAGAAGCTAGGAGCGGTTCTAGGTGAACGATTTTCAGTGGAAGTTTGATTTTCGGCAACACTGTACATTTGTGCAAGACAGCATAATCCTACATGATTAAATTGTCATTTTGCAAACTTGTCAAGTCCTAGTAACGTAGTCACGAGAGCACCATGCGACCATACGACTAACTAGATAACACAACTAATTAATACTATAAATGACAGCTGATAACCTACATCGATATGATTCCGACCAAATCGAGTGGCGCCACATGCCTGTGTCATTGTGTGAAGTCATGTCCTTAGAGATAACCCCATGAACATGCGATTTTCAAGTGAATGATAAAGCCGAGGTTATGGTCGAGGCAGTTACACCGGAAGTATATCCACGACGCTAGCATCTAAATATAGTAATTTTCTGACGACTGATCACTGTTCAAACACAACGCAATGAACGTCTGCCGAATCTCAACAATGCAACATAGTTACAATAACTATTAATCAAAAAAATACACTTCTATAAAACAGTTAGTAAACTAAACACGATATATGAGCTTGCACGTTCTATTCCCGTCATCGATAATGCAAATGTTTATTTCTTGTCTTCGATTTTAGAACACTGGACGTTTGAAACAATTCGTCCAAATTCCATCTGTTAATCAAATCATCAGGTCTGACAAGCAAAAAGTAAAACCTCATATCAGGTCTTACAAGAAAAAAGGAAAACCTCATACCCAGAATGAGTTTTACCAAGAAAATGGTACACCTTCCCCAAAGGTTATTACGAGATAGGAAGATACCTACAATACAATAAACAAAAGTGGCAGTAGGTTTATAAGGAGGATCCAAGTATATACTTATTTCCAAACACTGTCAGAACTATATGTTTATGTAAAATAATTGAGAAATTGACTGTTCTTATTGGTAACTGTGTTGCCATCATCAGATCTGGAACATGTTAGAAATATATAATGTGTGAAGCCTATTTCTGATGTCCCCCGCCGATATTGATAGAATATTGCTTAAAGTACCGAACAGACATACTCTCTCTTTCAGCCGCCACCGGCACACGACCCTTTGCCGTGGTATGATTTATCATTACTCAGGATACAAATATACAAATACCAAGCTGTCTATATTCATCCACAAAATCCTGATACTGAAAAGGGGCAATACTCTGACAGGGACTACAAACTGACAAGGGCGATCTATTGAAGGGTCAACATGCTGATAATGGCAATCTACTGACAGGGGTACCTATTGATAAGGGCAATCTACTGTCAGGAGTACTTACTGATAAGGGCAATCTTCTGACAGGAGTACCTACTTGATAAGGGCAATCTACTGACAGGGATACCTACTGATAAGGGCAATCTACTGACAGGAGTACCTACTGATAAGGGCAATCTACTGACAGGAGTACCTACTGATAAGGGCAATCTGCTGACAGGAGTACCTACTGATAAGGGCAATCTACTGACAGGAGTACCTACTGATAAGGGCAATCTACTGACAGGGATACCTACTGATAAGGGCAATCTACTGACAGGAGTACCTACTGATAAGGGCAATCTACTGACAGGGGTACCTACTGATAAGGGCAATCTACTGACAGGAGTACCTACTGATAAGGGCAATCTACTGACAGGAGTACCTACTGATAAGGGCAATCTACTGACAGGAGTACCTACTGATAAGGGCAATCCACTAGCAGGGATTACGTACTGATAAGGACAATCTACTGACAGGAGTACCTACTGATAAGGGCAATCTACTGACAGGAGTACCTACTGAAAAGGTCAATCTACTGACAGGGGTACCTACTGATAAGGGCAATCTACTGACAGGGGTACCTACTGATAAGGGCAATCTACTGACAGGGGTACCTACTGATAAGGGCAATCTACTGACAGGGTTACCTACTGATAAGGGCAATTTACTGACAGGGCTACCTACTGATAAGGGCAATTTACTGACAGGAGTACCTACTGATAAGGGCAATCTACTGACAGGAGTACCTACTGATAAGGGCAATCTACTGACAGGGGTACCTACAGATAAGGGCAATCTACTGACAAGAGCTGTATGGTGAAAAGGGCAATCCACGGAATAATGTAAAAAAACACCACTGAAAGTCAAGTTACTATTACTATTACTAGCTAGTCATGAAATTCTAAATTCACTTAAAGCGTTACTCAATTTCACTATGGAAAAAGCGAATCCAGTTCAACCTTTCTCGATGTAAGAATAAACTTAATATCTGGGTGATTTGTACAAACTGAATCAAAGTACTAAAATGGAGAAGATATTGAGCAAATACAAAATTATCCACAGCCAAAGACAACCAAAATAACTTAGAAGGATTTTGACAAGTTCTAAATTTGATTCTGTTGTCATCACTCCACAGGTTTCAAAGTGCGGTAATAAACGTTACCTTACTTGTAGCAATATAATTGAAAGTTGTTCAGTCCATATCACAAAGGGCTATAAATTTACTGGAAAACAAAATATGACTTGTGATCCTAGAAATGTTATTTACTTGATTGTTTGTAGTGAGGCCAATGAAAGTATAT